GACCTTTGAGGGCCTGATGATGAAACTGGTACTCTCAATGCTGATTGTCCTTCATCATGGTGCTGGTGGCAGGTGTGGGAGGGGTTGGGTGGGGAGAGATTATTCTCTTTTGGAGGAAAGAAAAGCAGCTTTATTATATCCCAAATAAGTATTTTTGAAAGTGTTTTGAGTATATCCTTCTTGACTCCTTCTGATACTTGGGAGGATGAAAAAAATTTAAGATTAGGCACAATGATACTGAACCCAAGAAAATTAAATTAAACTCTTAGGGCAGGAATGGATGGTGGTTAGGTGGAAATGAATTGGAGGTACATTTGAGCTCTTGGCAGGAATTGGAGCAGGGTGGTCACTTTTTCTCCTCCCATTAGATTCTGTTGGATGCTGTGGGCAGAGTTAGCCACCTGGCAGGTACATCCATCTTCTGATGGCAGGTACCCTGATCTTGCTTTGAATACAAGGTCAGCGGGTCTGTTTATCAGTGGAAGAATAGTTGCTTCTGAGAGCACCCCACCACCTCCTGGTTCAATTAGACACCTTCTCCTTGGAATCTGAGCCCTGAGTAGGATGTTACAAGGACCAAAATTTGACTGGGGCTTATTGCTGTCAACAGTGGTGGTCTGAAAAAAAAAAAGAGCTTACTAATTCTCAGAGATTGTGAGCCATCAGGTTCTTATCCTTTCAGAGTCTAGTTCTTTAGCTTTTCCTTAAGTTCTCTGAGTATCCCACAGCATTCCAATGCATTCTTATGCTTCTTCTTATCAAATTTATGGGGGTCTTTTGGTTGCACTGGAAGAGCCCTGAATGATCCTGATTTGTTTGGAGGATTCCACCAGGATTAAATATCTAGAGACTGTCTAATGAAACCTGATGGAAACCTGTGTCTGTTGCTGCTACTTTGTGCAGTAGGTACAGAAAAAAGGGAGGAAGGAAAAGATGTGTTAGTGTCCTCTTTCAGTGGACCCAGCTGAGAGAGAAGCAGGAGTGAGAGGTTTGCATGGGACCGGAGGAGTGGGGATGCTGTGAGAGAAAGAGAGGAAGCAGGATTGGGCAGAGAACCTCAGCCTGCGGTATGACCTGATGGTCTCAGTCAATTCAATGTTGAGCTCCTGCACACAGGTTTCCCCTTAGAGATGGCCTATGCTGGATAGAAATGACCAGGCCCTAGTACTCTGCTGTGCTCTATCTTTAGCTGGGGGCTGCCCAGGAAGAGTACAGCCTTTGCTCAAAAGCTAAGGCATACTTGAAGGCTCTGCAGAGGATGCTGCCAGCTCACTGTGCTCCTTGTGGCTGAACAGCAAGTCCTTCCTGGTAGGGAGATCTGATCTGCATAGCTCCATGGCTGCCTTCCACTGCGCATTACAGTTTTCTCTTGACACCCTGCTTTATCTTGTTCTCAGGCCTCTCACTTATCCTGTGAGGTTGGTGTTATTTCCACTCCCCCAGTTGATGAAATGGAGACTTAGCTAGTTACTATCCCCTAAGATTTTCCTGATAGTGAGTGTGAGTGCTGGGATTGGGACCCAGCTATGTCTAACTCAAAGGCTCCTGCTTTGATGTCCTGTGGCAGTGGCCATTGCTTCAACTACCATCATCCCCACAATAAGGACTTGGATTCTGCAGGTTCAGGGGCTGCTCACTGCCCCCTGAGCAAATGCTCTATTTGCGTGGTGTGTATGTATAGGCACCTGAATCTGTCTTGGGTTAAAAACAGCTTTCTTTTTAGCAAGTGAGTAATATTCCATTGTCTGGATGTACCATGGCTTATTTATCTGTTCACCTACTGAAGGACATCTTGGTTGATTCCAAGTTTTAGCTATTAAGAATAAAGCTGGTATAATATAAACATCAATCTGCAGGTTTTTGTGTGGACGTACGTTTTAAACTCCCTTGGGTAAAATACCAAGAAGAATTATTGCTGGGTCATATGGAAAGAATGTGTTTAGTTTTGTGAGAAAATGAAAAAACATCTTCCAAAGTGACTCTCTCATTTTGCATTCCCACCAGCAGTGAATGAGAGTTCCTGTTGCTCCACATCCTCACCAGCATTTGGTGCTGGCAGCGTTCTGGACTTAGATTATCTAATAGGGGTATAGCGGTACTTCACTGTTGTCTTAATGTGCATTTCCCTCACGGCATATGATGTGGGGCATCTTTCCCTATGCTTATTTGTCACCTGTATATATTTTTTGGTGAGGTATCTGTTCAGGTCTTTGGCTCATTTTTAAATCGGGTTATTATTGTTGAATTTCAGGAGTTCTTCATATGCTTTGGATAACAATCCTTTATCAGATATGTCTTTTGCAATATTTCCTCCCAGTCTATGGCTTGTCATTTCGTTCTCTTCACAGTGTCTTTCACAGAGGAGAAAACTTTAATTTTAGTAAAGGCTAGCTCACCAGTTCTTTCTTTTTCTTTTTTTGAGATGGAGTCTTGCTTTGTTGCCCAGGCTGGAGTGCAGTGGCATGATTTCAGCTCACTGCAACCTCCGCCTCCTGGGTTCAAGCAATTCTCCTGCCTCAGCCTCCTGAGTAGCTGGGACTACATGCACATGCCACCATGCCTGGCTAATTTATATATTTTTGGTAGAGACGGGGTTTTACCGTATTGGTCAGGATTGTCTCAAACTCCTGACCTCAGGTGATCCACCAGCCTTGGTCTCCCAAAGTGCTGGGATTACAGGGGTGAGCCACCACATTCTTACCAATTCTTTCTTTCAAGGATCATGATTCTGGTGACATATCTAAAAAGTCATTGCCAAACCGAAGGTCATCTAGAGCTCTCAACCTATGGAAAACATGGAAGGACCTCAAATACATTTTACTAAGTTAGAGAAGTCAACCTGAAAAAGCTACATATTGTATAATTCCAACTATGTGGCATTCTGGAAAAGGCAAAATGAAGTGAAATGATCAATGGTTGCCAGGGGTTAGGAGAAAGGGAGAGATGAATAGGTGGAACATGGAGAATATTTAGGGCAGTGAAGCTATTCTGTATGATCCTCTAGTGGAAGACACGTGTCATTATATGTTTGTCAAAACCTATAGAATATACAACATCAAAAGTAAAAAGATCAGTGGTTGCTAGGGGTTAAGGGAAAGGGAGAGATGAATGGGTGGAACACAGAGAATACTTAGGGCAGTGAAACTATTCTGTGTGATACTGTAGTGGAAGACACATGTGATTATATGTGTCAAAACCTATAGAGTATACAACATCAAGAGTGAATCCTAATGTAAACCACGGACTTTTATGTGATAATGATGTGCTAAGGTAGGTTCATCAATTATAACCAATGTACCACTCTGGTGAGGGATGTTGATAACAGGGGAGGCTATGCAGGTATGGAGGAGGGAGTTCATAGGAAATCTGTACCTTCCACTCAGTTTCACTCTAAAAATATAATCTATTAAAACAACAACAACTCCCATGCTTTCTTTTGCACATGCTTTAGTTTGGGTTCCCTCCAAAGCAGATGCTATGGCAAGTAGTTTACCTGAGAGGACGTTCCAGGAAGCGATCCTGGAATGAGTTTGTGGGGGAGGGAGGTGTAAGAGAGGAGAGGAGTACGAGCCAATATTGAGCATCGGTGAACCAGTCCATATGGGCAACTGCTGGAGACCATCTGAGGAGCTGCACAGAATGTTGGGACAATTCTGACTTCCATTCCTCAATGGTGGAATACAGCCCTATAGGCATTGGCTCCCAGACAGTTGGCGATTATGACCTGTATGTAGGCTGAGCAGCTCCCAGGGTACCAGCAAGAGCTTCAGGTATATAGCTGGGGAGGGGTGGCATGGATGCACTCAGCATGCAGGGAAATGTCCATCACAGCCTGGGTGGGGCACCCATAGCGTCTGCCACATGCATATTCAAGGATTACGGAAATAATCTGACTCCAGTTTTAGGGTGTGTGACACTTGTGGTTTGGGATTCAGGAGAAGTAGCAGTGATTGCTACACCTGTTGGGACACTGTATGAGTGTTCTACTATTGTCATAATACCACAGACCAGGTGGCTAAAACCACAGGAAGGTATTTCTCACAGTTCTGGAGTCTAGAAGTCCAAGATCAAGGTAGCTTGGACTGTGCGGTTTCTCCTGAGGCCTCTCTCTTTGGGTTGTAGAAGGCCATCTCCTCGCTGAGTCCTCACATGGTCTTTCCTCTGTTAACTCACTTTTCTGGAGTCTCTTCCTCTTCTTAGGAGAATACCAGTCTTATTGGATTAGGGTCCCACCTTATGACCTAATTTAACCTCGGTTATTTTCTTAAAGGTCCCATCTCCAAATACAATCACATGGGGATTAGAGTTTCAACATATAAATTTTAAAGGGACACAATTAAAGCTGACAACAGGACCTGGTTCTGGGCCATATTTCCTCTTTTTACTGAACCCAGAAAGAGTTAAGTGAGAAGCTTAGGGTCACAAAGCTTGAGTTGAAATACGATGCTAAGTCAGAAGCAAATCTGTCCACCCAGGGACTGTACACACCCATGGGCATCATGCCCCTGAAGTCTTCTGACCTTGGCCCTCTCTCCTTGAAAATCCCAGAGGCACCTGCCCATCTATCTTGATGCCTGGGTTCCAGGGCTGGCCATGCTGCGGGGCCTGTGCAAGCGCTTCCCTTTGTTCTCATCTGGGAATCAAGAAGGCTGGTCCAGGTTACCATTCCTGTTCCCCAGTCTCTTTTTTTTTCTTTTTTTCTAAGTGTTGGTGAAAATTTTAGGAGGTGGAAATGGGCACTCACATTTCTTGGGATCGTACATTGGAACAGTTCATGTAGAAAGGTGATTTGGTGGGATGTTTCAAAAGCTCTAAAGATGTACACATCTGCAGATATTCTAGGATGTTCCTAGAAGGGGACAACCTGGGCCAAAGATTTAGCCACAGGGAGAATCACTAGTGTTGGTTTCTCACATTTTACTTTTATAAACATGCCCAACACCAAGAGACTGAATAAACAAATTATGTACCTTATTCAATGGAACACAAATACATAAAACGTAATTCCGCAGAGAACATTTAATGACTTGGAAAGATTTTTCACAATGCCACGTGCAAAGGCTAATTTCAGAGCAACCCATATTGTGGTTCCATCCATGTTAAAAAAAAATACAAAGATCTAGATGGCTAATAAACCAGGAAGAACAATGGTCACTTCTGAGTAATGGGCTTGTTGAAGATTTAAAATCTTTATTTTCTAAAGTAACTATATGCATTGCTTTTGTAATAAGAAAATTCAGAAAAACAATGTTATTTTGAATAATTTAGTTTTGGCAGATGCTGCTGGCCAGGGAACTCTACAGCGGTTACTGACCTGTCTTCCCCTGCTGCGTGTGTTTCCACTCCCTATAGCTGAATGCTCACCTTTCCAGCTTCCCTGACTGCTGGCATGGCCAGGTGATAGGAGTTCCACCTACCGAGATATAAATGGGAGTCTGCTGGGTGGACATGGAAATTTCTGGGAAAGCTAATGCCTCCTAACAAAAGGAGGGGATACTTTTGTCCCTTCTAACTTTCCTTTCTTCCTTCTGGAATGTGGAAGTGATGACTTGAACAGCAGTAGCCCTCTTGTGACCACAAGGTAATAAGGGTGGTGCAGCAGAAGGGTCAAGTGTAAGCTTTTGATGACACCCTTAAATTAATGCATCAACTCTGGACTCCATACCTCCAGACTTCTTGTCATGGGTGAGAATTCTGACATAACAGTTTTGGCTGGCTCAGGTATGAAGGCTTTTGGCTGCAAGACTTAAGGTCGCTCCTCTAGGTCCTAGATCATCCCTATCATTCCACACTGTCTCCATGGAGAGAAACGGTGCCTTATCAAGGCACTCTCTTCCCAAGCTGGCACTGCCCTCTTTCTGGCATTAGTATCTGAATTTATTTGGTGGCTCCTGGAGGAGAGGAGCACTGCCCATCTTTTGTAGCATAGGAATGTGTTAAGCAGCCCTTATGCCCAACAGAGCAGGGCCCTGTATGAGACAGCCAGTCAGCTGTCTCTCAAAACACTACGTGCTGGGCATTGTGCCATGTGCTGGGAGAGGCAAAAGAGCAAAACAGACTCATACCTTGTCCTTCTGAAGCTTTTCACTTTGTAGAAAACAAGAATATTGAAAAGTCAGTTAATCCTTTGCACAGTCATTAGTGTGCAGTGTTTTGAAGAACAGGGTGCCATGCAAGTGTGTCCTGGAGAGGCCTGGCCCGGGACTCAGGGAAGGCAGCCTAGAAGCTCTTTTCTGTCTCTAGGCTCAGCAAGATATATCCCAAATTCCCAGGCTTGTCTGAGACAGCCTCTGCATCACAATGCCAAATGGAAGGCGTTTTTCCTTTTGTCAAAACCCTCGCCTGTGGGCTTTATCATCCATAGATGCAAAATGAGGGAAATGGACTCAACAAAATTCCAGCTTCCCAGAGCTCAAATGCCACATGAAAGCAGCTGGGAGAGGCCACCACAGGAATGGTAGACACAGGCTGGCAAGGTAAAGCAGGGGCTGTTTGCTTCCCAGCCTTGGCAGAGATGGGTCCCACATTTGTTCAGAGGAAGAGAGGCCTCTGCAGTAAACAGCATGTGCAAAGGGCTTAGGTGTAGCCCGTGTGAGCAGCAGCAGGAAGGCCAACTGGGGCTGGGGTGGAGTGGGGCACAGAGATGGATTCCATGTGGCAGTGAGCAGTGGAGGTCAAAGCTTTAGGATCCAGCTTGTGTTTCAAAAGGATATCAGGTCAGTCCTTGCCCATTCTGTTTGCTCTCAGAGTAAAAAATTCAAGAGGTCAATGGTGGGGAGATCTGGTAATCCATGCAGCAAGTTGCATTGATGGATGTGGCCTTAGACTTTGCATGTACCAAGGTAACCTGAGCAATGAAAAATTTATTTTTGAAGTATCTTTAAATATGTGCAACTTTTATAATCATAAAAAAATTCAAATTATAAAAAATGACGAGTGCTTATCCCTAGGGATAAGATTACCAGGGGCTTTCACATTCTGTGCTGTATGTCAGCAGTCTTTTAAAAGTTTTAGTCCTTGAACAGTGTCATTTTCTATTGTTCTGTGCCTTTAAACAGTAATGGATATCCCTCTAGGCAATGTACAAGAAGAAACAGGCAGACAGAAGAGTATTAACTCAGTTTCATAGTCACAAAGTCAATTACACAGGCACACACGTACATACATGTATGCCCACACACATACACACACTGCGTCTTCCAGTCGGAGTCAGGCCTGAGGAAATGACCTTGGAGGTTCACTGCAGGAAGGCATAGCTCTTTCTTTCTTCCACTTCCAGTGCTCTCTTCCATCAGGCTCGTGTTTCAAGCTTGAAGGCAGGTAGAAAACTTTGAAGGCAATCACACTTATGTTGCCTGTTGGCGGGTGTTCTGGTGAGCTGCCCAGGAAGGAGGGAGGAGGAAGTCCCTTTGGGCATAGTTAGCTGCACACATCTTTGGAGTCTGATGACCTACTCACCAGCTGTGAGACCGTGAGCAAGTTTTGTGACCTTTCTGAGCCTGTACCTCACCTGAAAAATGGGAATGATGACACTGCTTCCAGTCCCAGGGCACCTCTGTGCCGAAACGAGACAATACAGGCCAAGTCCCTGGCACACAGTACGTGCCAGTGGGTCAGTGGGGGTCACTGTCTTTGTTCCAGAGCACAAAGACCTCTGGCTCTGGAAACAGAGGGCAAGGCTGTGTGCTCTAGGGCAGGCTACTTTGCTTTGCTTCCACTTCTCCAACTGTGAGATGGAGCTGCAGCAGGACAAGGTGTGGGGCGCAGACATTTCTGTAGCAGGCTGCAGGTGTCCCTCACAGATCCTTCCTTTGCCTCAGTGGGCTCCACCTTGGTGCCACTCATCTGAGACCACGACTGATGGACTGCTGGCAGGCACCTAGCCCTGGGCTCTACGGCACCCAAACCTGCTGTGCCAGGAAGTGAGGCTTCCTGGAGCTGAGGCTGCTCCCAAGTTTCATCTTCTGTTGGGGCTCAGCCTCTGGTCTCATTTTTGGCTGCTGTGCCAACCCCTGGAACTAGAGAGCAGTGGTCCAACCCTCCAGAGCTAAACTAGGATGTCAGGCAGCTGGAGAAGGTTGGGGATGAGGTTTTACTGCTTATTTATTTTGCTCTACTTTTCTATCAAAATTCTTTCCTGCTATGCCTTTTAAAATAGTGATTTTGAACTCTCACATGGTTGGTGTGTGAGGTTTCTTCTGAGTTTTTTTTAAAGAAAACAAAGGGAATGGTGAAACAATTTTTTTTGCCCCTCCCTTTAACAAAATCTATCAAAAATTAACATGAAGGTGAAATTTTCTGACTTCAGCTCTGTCCTTGAGACCTGTAAACTTTTCCTGAAATTTCAGCAGTGATGTGCAGTTTTCCTGACAGTCTCACTGCAGTTGGTGAGATGGAGTTTGTAGGAATGCTTGCCTCTTAGCAATGACAAACACTCAAATTACCATATTTTCTTAAAGAGAGAAGCCACTTGCCTGAAGCCAGTACCTACCAAGAGAGAGATGCTTGGGGTTGAAACGGTCTTTGGCTATGGCTTTCACGAGGAGGGATATGTAAAAGACCACCTATGAGGTCTAAGATAAATGTATAGCAAGAATTACCAGAAAAACAAGGAGATCTGCCCCTACCACTAGCAAAAAAAAAGAAGTCCACCTAGAGATAAAAGTACAACAAATTTTGTCAAGTTGAAATTACATGATTGCCCAGTGTGGTCTTTATGGCATTACCTTTTAGGGTCAGGGTTTCTCCAAGTTGGCTGCCAATCAAATGGCTTTTTATTGCTCAGACACAGGTGCTCTAAACTGGGCACAGCTGACATTTATGGTCCCCACTTGTTCATTAGGGAGGTAGAAAATCAAAAGTAAGGGCAAGCAAGCGTGGGTCTGGGAGCACTGCTGAGCTCTAATCTCTGCTCCAGCAAGTAACGCCTCTCGTCCCTGGAGTACAGGCTGGCTCCTCAATCTCTCTGCCTCTCATTCCTCTCCTTAAAATGGGGTTGGTTTGGGCTCAGATTAAAGAAATGAAAGGCCTTTAAAATGTAACTGTGCCATATACTGTGTTAAGAATTTAATAAATGAAAAAAATCTAAGACTTTATATTGACAGAAGATAACTTTTACCTTCCAACTCCCTGTTGTGAAGGATAAGCAGATACTCTGGCCATGTATATGCAGGTGAAAATGGGAAGAGCCAGGGTATCACTGCTCAGCATCTCTAGAGATTTACAATTCACAAAAGTTTTGAGAGAATCATTATTCAACATACAGTAAACACTCTAAACTTTCCACACTTCTGCAAATGGCAGGCACAGATGCTCCACTATTGTGGCCTTCTAACCTTTGATACTTGAGGGGTGTTCTCCCCCATCTTTTATGCTATTTTGGTAGTTCTCAAAGTTGAGTGCACTGGCCTCACCCCAGAGCTGCTGACTCAGTAAGGGTAGGTGGGGCTGGAGGATGTGCATGTCTAAGGAGTTCCCAGGAGATGCTGGTGCCGCTGCTGCTCCGAGAGCACACTTTGAGAACCATTGCTCTATGTGATATTAAATATACTCGGGGAACTCCATTTCCAAACCCAGCTTTTCCCAGAAGAGCTGACTGGGGTCAGCAGATGGTAGCCAGCTTAAGACAAGGTGGCGGGTATAAAAGTATGTGTCTGGCAAGCTCCCTACATCACTGGGGTTTTTGTTATCTACAACGAGCCTCCTGAGAGAGTCTTTTAAGTTGGAAGGTGGCTAGCTGCAAAGGTAGGATCCCAAGGAAATTATAATACAGAGATTCTAAACTCAGAGCTTCAAATGATCACAAAATCAAGGTTTTAGAAAAGGGGGAATGGACACTCTGTTTCTTTCTGGCCAGGTGGCATTAAGAAGTCAGCCTGAGTGGAAGGTCTGGAATGCTAAGGAGGGGAGAGGCTGTTCTCAGTGAGGTGACTGCACTTTGGAGAAGAAGCCACAATGTGGATAGAGGTCTGTTGCCCTGGGTGAGTCTCTGGCTGGATCTAAGCATGCAGAAGAGGCACTCTAAGGTTGTTCCCCCCTAGGCTAGGCTTGAGTAAACAGTTCTGGGCAGGGTTGGGGTGAGGCAGGTGGAGGGGACACAGTTTGCCTTTGCAGCCTCACCTCTGAAGGTCACTGTGCAAACTTCGAATGAATTCGCCTGCTCAATACCAAAATTAATTAAGTAGAGCATCCTCTGAATCTTAAATGGTTCTCTCATTCTCTCTCTGGACTTGACCCCATTTTATATTTTGTTAGGTTTTTAAAATCAGGTTCCATTATGAAGGGCTTTAAACAAGGTTAGAATCTACAAATGCACAAGGTGGAGAATACTGCCTGGTCTACCTGGTTTAAGAAACAGAAGTGGAAGCCTCTGAGAATGGAGAAGGCTTTGCTCTGTCCCTGGGAGCAGCCCTGGACTTCCATCATCAGCTTTGTCCCCTTCACACTGGCTCTTCAGCAGCAGGGAGCAGTGGCTCAGTACATGGACTCTGGGGCCAGAGTGCCTGGGTTTAAACAGCAGTGACACAAATCACCAACAATATGGATGGTATGGTCTTGGTACTTACCTGATAGGGTGGTTACATGACCTGCCTGCCTATGCGGAGGAAATGGAGGCACCAAGTACATCGCTAAATGCACATGGAGGGCTCAGGGCAGTGCCTGGCAGTTTCTACTCTGTAAGTGCCTGCTGCTATTAACGATGATGCCACTGAAAGGATCAAAGACCTAGGGCTTCAACAAAGAGCCAGAGTGTCTGACCTTGAAGGACACTGGGCTTGGGCTGTGCTCATCCATTCATTGAACAGATTTATTCAGTGTCTACTCAGTGTCAGACACTGAACTAGGCTGGAGGGCACAGCAGTGAATGAAGCTGGATGTCCCTGCCCTTAAGGAGCTTATGGCCAGTGAGAAAGACACAGATTCAGCAAAGATTCCCACTAGTCAATGAGTAATGACAAAATGAGATGATTCTCTGAAGGGATGGAATTCAGTTTGCTGAGCGCATGGAAGAGCTGTTACCTGATCTGGCCTTCTGGGTAGTGGGAGTTAGCTCTGTCTGAAACCTGGAGGACAGTCAGGTATCAGTGATGGAGTTTGGAGGCAGCTGGGACCCTTCTAGATAGGACTGAGCTGAATGACGGCCCTGAGGCAGAGGCCAGAGGGATCTTATGGAAAGGGAGAAGAGGGGTACGTCAGGAGTGGGGAGGGGAGTGCATGTCATTCATGGGTCCCACTGAAGTTAGTATGATGACAATTCTTTAAGCAGTTCTAAGGCCAGGAGTGGGAGGCATTCACATGATTTAGAAGTACATTTTGAAAAGAACATTCTGGTTATAATGTGTAGAAGAGAGAAGGTTGGAATGGAAGCCGGAGAGATTGTAGGGAGACCCAAAAGGGGTAGAAGCGGTTCTGAAGCATCTCCTGGAGTGCCTGTGACACACAGTTCCTACCAGCTTGCTATCCCCACTGGAAATTTTTTTTTTTTTTTTTTTTTTTTTTTTGAGACAGGGTCTTGCTCTGTCACCCAGGCTGGAGTGTAGTGGTACAATCTGTGCTCACTGCAGCCTCAAACTCCTGGGCTCAAAAGGTCCTTCCACGTCAGTTACCTGAGGAGCTGATGGGACTACAGGAGTGTACTGCCACATGCAGCTAATTTTTAAAAACTTTTTTTTTGTAGAGATGAGGTCTTGCTATGTTGCCTGGGTTGGCCTCCAGAAATTCTGATGCAGCAGGTGCATGGTGGTCCCTAGGATCCTGCTTTTCCAGCATGATGAAGCTGCCGCCCATGGACCATACCGTGAGTGGCTCTAGCTTAGAGTCTGTTTGTGGTAGGGGAGTTGGTAACTGGATGAATTCTCAGGATACAGCAAGGAGCCCTTTCTAAAAACATATTTTGTTTTGAAGATATTTGTCCCCAATCATAATTTAGTACAAATTTCAGAGATACCCTTAATGATATGGGGATGGGGTGAGGGATAGAACTTTACAGAAGCAGCCTTGCCTTTCAGAATTCTAAGGTGATACAGATGCAGGTGGCTCTGGTTAACTCAGGCTCTATGTAACCTGAGTGCTAAGCAAGGTTTGTGTGATGCTTGTTTTTGGTTTTCAGAGCAGGAAGAACCTTATACAAACACTGAGGTTACCCAGACTGGGCCCAAGTTAATCAGAGTGGCTCTGGATCTCTGTCCTGTAGAAAGCGAGAGAGAGGAACATTCTGCTTTTTATTAGTGTTTTGAAAACGACACTAGCCAACCTAGCCACTCCATCTTGAAAACTCTGGCCTGGGCTCTGAAAAATGGTGATGTCACACATAAGATTTAAGTTAGGCACAAAATGCTACGCCAACTCAGCGACCTCATTAGTTTTCCAGCTCTGCTGGGTCCATGCTGTAAGGACCTGGAGAAAGGAAGCCCATCTGTCAGCACAAGTAATGGAAAGTATTACCCCGATGGAGTGTCTGGCAGATCAGTGCCCTAGGAGCAGTCCCATGCTTGGTTCTTGTCCAGCCCTCAGGTCACTGGGACATGCACTTATGGACAGCTGTGGAATTCTCCCTGGCTGAGAAAGGTGTTTGCTCTCCAGAGACCCTGGGACCATCTAGGAAATAGATGCATTACCTGTATATGTGGCTACAAAGAGCCTTCCTCTCTCCAGGAGTGCTCCTAAGGCCACCGTCCTATCCTATTACGAGGTCCTCCCTTCCCTCTATTTTGCCTATTCAAAGCTACCATCACCGAGTATCAAAACAAAGGTCCCAGCTCTGCAACCACTGTGTGTTTCAGCACCTAGGAGGAAATGTTCAATTGAGTGGCGCTGAACCCTCATGATGGCCCATAACTTCATTTTCACAGTGGGAAGCCTGGTAGCTCCATTTTCTCTGTAGGAAGCTAATGTTACCAGGAGTGGCCTTTTCTTTAAAAGTGGAGCGTTTGTGTTGGGGGCTAAATAGCAGCCTCAGGAAGCCAGTGTCTGCAGGGGCGATGCAGCAGCCAGCCCAGACCCGGAAAGCCACATGCCTGGGTTCTGGAGCCGATGGTCCTCTGTGGCGGGGGTGTGGCTGCCTCACCAGTGGGTGCCCTTGCTGGTTCTGGAGCCGGAATGCTGCCTGTAGTGTGGTGCGGCCCTGGTGTTGTGAAGTAGCCGTTCTCTGATTGGCAACGGCCTGATTCACAACACCAGCTGCCCCACCATACCATGCTGGGGAGGTCTCTGGGTGGGCCGATGGGCACAGAGATGCCTCTGTGCTGCTGGATGAGGTGGAGAGGACAGAGAACAGCCAGAAGTGAGAACTGGAAAGCAAGCAGATGCCAACATTTCACTGCCCTCCCCAGCCCCACCTGAGAGACTTTTGTCATGACTTTTGTGAACTTCCCCATCCCATGGGGTCACCCCCATCCCATAGGGGTATCCATAGCTCCAAGGAGTCCTGGATCCTGAACACAAACTTACCTGTGTGTTGGTAGATCTGTCTTCAACAAATGCTCAGAGTCCTCCACAGCTTGAGTATGTCCACTGATGGGCCTTCATAGTATTTGATGATGACTTCACCTCCCAGAACAAAGTTTTTTCCCCACTGATGCTTTTCTGGGAGAAATGCAGGGAATCCCATTATTGTGTTGTCAAATATAGAAACCAGAGATGGTTCTTACTGCAAATTCTGGTTAGGAACTTTGCCTCGGCTGTCCCTCACCTCTTGATTTGTATGCTGTCCAGAGTCCCCAAACCTGCAAGTCCATGCTTGGAATAGCTCCCATGTCTACTGAGGATGAGCAGGGTCAAAATGGAACCCCTTAAGAATGCAGAGCAATCTCCCTGACTCAGTCCTCTAGAGCCGGGAACACATTCCAGATAAAACGTAAGGGTGACCTCCGAAGATTTGAGGCAGTCATACAAACCAGCCAAAGCTGAGACTGGCTGAAAAGAAACCAGGTAGCCAACATGGAAACACTTAACTACCATGGTGCCTTCCTTTCCATCAGCAGGTGATCTGCCGGGCTGCTTCCTCCCCTGGCTTCAGCTGGTCCAGGATCCTGAGTGTCTGTAATAGGGAAACCCAGCAGTAAAATCACTTGGGAACTCTCCTTTCGGTATCTGCCTGGATTTCATCACCATTATGAAATTATGTAGCATAAACTTGACGTGAAAATAGCATTTGAAGTTTAATCCCTATTTTCAGGTGTCAATAAACACTTTAAATGAACAGCTCTTTGGCCCAAAATGGCTCCTGCCTGCTGTGTGGTTCTTAGTTACCCAATCAAGAAAAATCACATTTCCCACTTTCTGCCGTCTATCTTGGAACCCACTTTATTTTAAGGACACAAACTTGGCAAGTTCCTAGTACTGGATGTGGCATAGAAGTTCTGCCAAAGTTCTTGCCAGAGTCGGAGAGTCGGGGGAAGCAGAAACTTTGAGTAATTCATCAATCATAATCACCAGGTCATGTGAATCACTGTGGCCTTGGAGTTCAGAAATGTGTGGATTTTCCTATCTGCAATCAAAGAATCTCTGCTGGGATGTTAGGCTATAATCTCTACACCGGGCCTCTGTGGCCCACAGAATCCCAGGCTGGGAAGCTAGGTTCCCAGGAAGGACATGCGACCAGATGTCAGCTACTGTGTACTGGAGCAGAAGTGCCAGACATTCTAGGTATTTCACACTCCTGAAATACTTGAATCTTTATCACACTCCATGAGGGTCATCATCTATCTCTCCTCACTGGGTCAGGAATGGGAAGTTCTGTAGGATGAAGGCACTCACGCAGTCAATGAGCAGCAGGAGGAGCCAGGGTGGAGAGGGGACACAGCTCCAGCGTAGCTGCCTTTCCCTGGTGGACGTGGACAAGTCCAGGTGCCTCTCCTGTTCAGATTGCTCATCTATGAAGGTGAGCCCGGAGCAAATGCTAAGTCCACACCTCCGGCAGGCTGGGAGACTGTTCTCTGGACATGCAGTGTAGATGAGTGGGTAGTTGTGTGGCACCATGGTTAAGTGCTGGGACTTTGGAAACAGGTGGGTCTAGGTATGCACTCTGACTCTAATTCTTCCTACCTGTGTTTCTAGGGCAAACCACTGAACCTTTCTGGGCCTCGATTTTATTATCTGCAAAAGAGTATAATAATAATATCAGAAAACTGGGCATGCAGCAAATACTACATAAATGTGCATATTTGATGAGCATTGGTGTTGACTAATGGTTGGTTTTCCAAGCATTAGGTAGAGACCTGAAATTCTGGAATTTCTGTAGACTGTCTTGGGGACCAACCACCACTCACTTTGAGAATGAGCAAGTTCCAGAAAGCAGGATTAGCTCCTTGTAAAATAAAGCAAGGAGACTGTGAATTGCTGACCAAGAGAGTACATGGGAAGGTCATGCTGGCACCAGGTAAAACCTGTACAAACTCCAGTAAGTTAAACAACACAAACCCATATCCTGGCATTATCCCATCCCTGTGTCAGAGGGGCAAAAGGTGACTCAGGAATAGGTGAGAAGCTGAGGCCATGAACAGACGCCATCTGTAGCCAGCTCTACTTTTGGTTTTGTTGAGCATCCACCAGTGCCCAGGAGGATACAGAGAGATCAATAAATCATCAACAAATGGCCATCATGTTTTATCTTTAAATGCTTCAAGGACTTGGCACCTTAAAGGGTAGGCCCAGGCATGGCAAAACCTCACACCCCTTCCTCCCCTAAGCCTCCCTCTTCTCCTCCTTTCTCTCTGTGCTCTCTTAACTTCTCATATGAACCATGCTCCCTCCCACCCCAGGGCCCTCATGCAAGCTGCTTCCTCTGCCTGGAAGGCCTCTTTCCCTGTTCTGCATTTTGAATACCAACTCCTTCAAGCTTCAACTCCAGTCACTTCCTGGACCCCTAACCCCAGACCAGACCTGACTCCTCTGTCACATGCTTTACAGGTATCTGATCCTCTTCCTTCAAAGCACTTCTCAGGGCATGAGAGTGAGGTCTTCTCCACTTGACTCCAGCCTAATCCCTGGGTCCCCAGCGTAGGCCATGTGGGAGATACTTGATGAATACTGGTTGGATGAATGGATCATTTCAACCAAGACTCAATGGCCCAGCTATTCTAACTGCTCAGATGAATCCCTCAAGAAAATAAATATGGCACCTAGTATTTTAGGGACATACACAGTGCTGTTCTGTAATGAATAATTTTACTTCAATTGACTGTCAGACCTCCTAACTCATCTTCCTGACTCCAGGCTAACTCCATGCTAATATGACTCACCCTCTCCTAAACTCCGTATTGCCCCAGGATAGAGTGAGTCCCAGATCCTGCAGCCTCTTTTCTAGCCTGCGCCTGCCCGGTGGTGCAGTGGTGCCCCCCTAGCATACCACGTGTACATGCTTCTGTGGATTTGAACCTGACTGGAAGGTCCACATCCCTTTCTATCCAGAAAACTCCTCTTTCTGCAGTCCCAGTTCTGGAGCCAGCCATCAGGGAGGCCTTCCTTGCCCCTTGCTCAGCTTGCACTCTTGGCCTGGCCTCTGACTCTTGTACCTTTTGTGTCCTTCCATTACCATTTACCTCTCAGTCTGTCTCAGTCAATGGTGACCTCGAGGACAGAAGCCATCATGGAGTCACTGGGCAAGTCAGCACCGACACAGCACCTGGAACACAGGGGCCTTCAGCCTGGATGTACTTCCATTTCATGAGGAGGTCCTGCAAATCAGGGGGTGTGAGGGGACCATGATGGTAAAAATCTGTTCTTTGTGTCCCCTAAGAATCATCAGAATGACCAGAAAGTTTCAATATTTGGCCATATTAAGTGCATTTCTTCATCTCCATGGCCACCCAGACTCCCAGTGCAGTGCCCCGCCACCTCTTGTCTGGTCCAGGTGATAAGCGGTTAACACAACCTTCCCACAGCAGCCCAATTGACTCTCTTAAAATATGAATCGGAAGATGTCTCTCTTCTGCTTCAAACCTTCATTTGCTCCCTATCACACATGGAATAAAATAATTCCCTGCAAAAGCCCACAAGGCCCTGTGGGTCCAGCCCTCCCTGCCCATCCACCGTCACTCCCCCCTCCTGGGCTCTGGCTATGTTCTCTCAGATCTTGAAACATAGAGCAAGACCATATGGTGTCTTCTGCAATGTAAAAAAAAAAGCAGGCCTTTCTTGTGGATAGAGACTCTTTTGAGCTCAAGAAGATGTCACTGCCACTTGACAGGGTGTGTGACCTCCTGAGTAGCATGTGGGCTGAACCCCACCCCTCACCTGCCCCCGGATGGGGTGGCCTGCTGGAACACACCTGGCTCCCTCTCACCTCAGGGCCTTTTTGCCTGCTATTGCCTCCTAAGGACCTCAGCCACTCCAAGGGCACTTTAAGAGAATGCAAAATATCTAGTATTCCAATAATCCTGTGCCAATTCTAACCAGGCCTTTTATCTTTTATTATTTTCCAATTAGTCTTCCTTCACTACTAGCTTGGGAGGATCAGGCCAGCTAACTCTTTTTTTTTTTTTTTTTTTTAAACATCACATAACGATTGCTTGGTGTAGGCAATACCAAGGACATGACATTTTTCTAAGCTTTATAACATCAGAGGTCTCAAATCAACAAAACATTTTTCGCCTGTTCTTGAAAAAGATGACTGCAAGAGAAACGCAGGATGTGTTTCCTCATCAACCACCTCCTAGGGTTATCACGGATCAGCATGAATTCCATTCAGAGTCTGCCATCAGCCACTGACTCTGGCCAGTTCAGGAAGCCTACACAATGAAGAGTGGGTGATTCAGGGCTGGACCCCAACTCCAAGATCCTGGTTTAGTCAGCTTAGGAGTGAAGTCCAGGAATTCATCCCCCTACCCCAAGGATTCTGATAAACCAGATTTGGGAACTGCTGCTCTAAATCTAGGGCTTTGTTAAAACTGATGTTCCTGATGAGCCTAAGTATAGTGGGAGTCTCTGATGTGGCTTTGACATCTGAAGAAAATTAAATTTTGCCCATGTGGCCAGCACTGTTGGTGCCTAGCACCTCCGTTCCTATATATAGGGTGCAACTCTTGACTTAGGGGCTTCCTTGGGTCAGGAATGGGAGCAGGAGTGTGTTCAGGCTGCGTGTGGGCTGGCTGAGTGCCAAGGAGTTAGTATTCCCAAGCAGCATTGACCAGTGATGGATAGGGGTTAGTGGATAAACACACGGCTCTCTGGTCCCCTGGGTGGGATAACCCTGAGGTGTGTTCTACACCAGCTTACAGAGGAGCAAGTGCCAGCAGCAGTAACTTTGATGGATAACCTTCACTGGCTCCCTTCCCCAGTCTCTTAAAACGCTTCCTGGACCACCTCCCAACACTCAGCAGTGCAGTTAGTGTCAGTGTAAAGCGTATTCAAGTCCACTCATGGGTTTGAATGGGTGGATGTTTTGAATGGGTGGATGTTGTGCTGTTGCCAGGATGGAGCCAGGGTGAGAGGAGAGAGGCACCCTCCATGCTCATCCTGCTCTCGTCCGAGCCAGACCATGGGTGCTTTCTGAAATTTTTGCATTGTAGGCATCTTGCTTGCTCATTCCAGACCCACCCTGACATTCAGGAAATCAGAATATAAGACTCAGACAAGACAACCTATCCCAAGCAGATGTTTTCTAGGGTGTAGTGTATCTGTGTTTCTTCACTGCTTTTTCATAGACAATCACCTATATGGAGGACCTTTTGGCTTCCAAATTCTGAGGTATTAGGATCATTTACATGGTCAGTAAAGCACACATGCTGTTGTAAGCATTTAAGACAACACATCTATTTTAAGACAATGGCAAAAAATCCAAAAGGCAACCTGTAAACCCTGTTTGTTTTGCAGCCTATTAATAAATGAACAAAACAATCCATCTTGGCAGAAGCCTTCTAGGTGAAAAATAAAACTCCTGGTTCTAAGAGGCTGCCCGGCCTGCCGAGCCCAGCCCGGAGTTTATTAGCACAGTTAATATCACATGCAAATAGATTTCCCTGCTTCGGTCATGCCAGTCCATTAATTCAGCCCCTTGTCTGCTACATCTTTATCCTTGGCAGGTTAATCCTGCCAAATGCCTTTGCTGTAGCACCTGTCACGCTGTGCCTATGCCCAACAATGCAATTTTGCTAATCCTGTTGTATCAGCTTTGTGGCCCTGTCTGGTCAATCCAATGGTAGAAAAAGTGCATATAAGGTTTTTGCCAAGATCTTTCCACTACTCTGGCACCCACCCCTTCCTTTAAAAAAAAATATTTCAATTAAATGCTTTGAAAATCAACCGCAGTGTTGGACACCGGCCAGCGGCCATGTCTTTCAGGCAAGGATGTCACGGCGCTCAGCATGCCTCCAAACCATTTCTGGCAGCCCCACCCAATGTCAGTTGGACATGCTAAGTGAAAAGGGTTAAAACAGGAAGATCAGCTAAACATCTCTTTTCCAAGGCTGGAAAATCCTGTCCTGACACCAGATAGTTTTAACGTTCCACCCTCACAGTTACCATAAAAGACGTAAAGGGCTTGAGGATGGTTGAATGGAAAGCATGCCTATCACTTGTTATCTTTGGTGCTGTCCTCTTAAAGGCTTATGGCATCACTGACATGAATTGTTAGATGAGGCACATCCCTTCCTGCAGTCACCTTTGTCAGGTATTCACCTGAAACAGGGAGGAGCCGATTCTCCAGGCCCCACAGTGCATTGCTCTTCTAGTTCATGTCCCAGTGTGGATAACAGCCTGGGTGGGCCTAATAGCCACATTTGCTCAGGCTCAAATCCCAGCTGAACCACTTCTACCTCTCTGACAACAAGCATGTTGCTTTACTTCTCTGGCCTCATTTTGCTCATCTGTAAAATGGGCATAACCATACCACCGGCCACATAAGATTGCTGTAAGGATTCTTTGTTAATACACATCAATCACTCAGAACAGTGCTGGTATGCATATAGCAGGCTAAATGTAAGTTGATATTAGCATAGACTGGAAAATTGGTCAAAACTCACTGCCATTTGCACAGTATATATGCAGAATGCATGGTAAAATTCCACATGAGCATGTCTTTTAGGGTCTTCAGATATGAACTGTACTCTCTTGCCTGAGAATTACAGAAATCTGGCTGCAAGGACTCCTATCTATTCTCCATGCCTCCCACTGGCCTCTATGTTACCCCAGTAGCCTTTGGTGGATGTGAGGAAGCATTCTGGGGGGATAAGCGCTGGGCCTGTGATTAGATTCCCCAGGGCCTCAGTCCTAGGACTGTTGCTATGTGACTTCGGGCAAGTTACTTAACCTGTGAGACTCTTACAATCCCCACATTAGCGAAGGCGAGACTTGGTTTTACACAGCAGGGTTACTGTGAGGATTAAATGAAAAAGTACACGTGAGATACATGGCATGCTGCTGGGAACACCCTAAGTGCCCCATAAATAATGGCTGTTATGGCTATGGAGCCCCTGCAAAGCACCTGGGCTTCCCTCTCTGATTCTCCATCCATCTGCCTCCTCATCTCCCACAGCCTTCCTGTAGATGTTCTAAGAGTTACGTGGGATCGGGGAGGGAAAGCTGCCAGCACAGGGCCTGGCTTCCAACGCAGCTGCTCGAGATGAGGTGGTGCTCACTGCTGCTAAACCACAGTTCACCCTGGCTGATTTCTTGCTCCAATAGCCTCAGCTCTATACAGTTCTTTTTGTGTTACTCTAGCCTAATCTTTGCTAAGGCTTATGGGTGGCTTTTAGATGCTGGTGTGCATGTATACATTTGAAAGCCCTATGTTTGGATGGGGCTGAATGTGCATCCTGAGGTGAGTGCCTAGGCATCATCATGGTAACTGTGAGGGCAGGACATTAAACCTATTCGGTGTCAGAGGTGTTAGGACAGGATTTTTGCCCTCTGTGTGAAAAATGTTTTGCTACGCAATAGAGCTGTATGCTTCCCTTGCCAACCCAGCCACTGAACACTGCCTTTTCTCTCCTGCTTTTCCCAGGTGCTGCTGGAATGTCTAATAAATAAAGTCTTATGATTAGTTGGGAACTTACTATGTTTCTGCTACCAGCGTGGATGCTTCACATTCACTATCTTCATTAATTCTAATTGGGATGAAATAGTACTGTTTTACCAGTTTCCCACTTAAGGAAATGGAAGCTTAGAAATGACAATTAGCTTACCCATAGCTAGCAAGTGGCCACAGAGACCAGGGGCTTTCCAGGCTACAGGGCTACACAATACATCTTTGATGTGATGCCATTTCATCTGATGGGCATCGGAGTCGAGGGTGGACCTCCTGAATTACCAACTCTCTTTAGCATTTATTTGTTCCAAGGAATAGCTATGCCACATGCAATATTTTCCTTCTCCTTTTACTGTTTTGATGAATCTGGTACTCAAGTTTTTAATTTTTCTCCTAGGGAGAAGATATGGCAAAAAACAAGACTCCTTTTCTGTAGAAATTAGGAAATTCCAGCATCTTAGCACATTTCACCTGGTGTGCTAAGAGTACTCTCTTGCCTGCCAATGACAGAATTAGCTGCAAGGACCCCTGTGTAGTCGCCATACCACTCATTGGTCTATACATCCCAGTTCTAACTCTATACATCCCAATTCTGTTGCACTGATCTTAATCTAGTTTTCATTCACCAATCTATTGGATAGAATCCGTTTGCTAATTAAAACAGGATGGAATCAAGCTATTCGCAAAATTAGGAGTTCTGACCCTCTCTCTGGCCTCTGTGGTCCAGGTGAGGTCCTCTGAGACACATGTAGGTATTGCTTTGGCAAGAATTCATGCTGAGAAGACAGTCCATTCATCTTAGGTCTTGCTTAACTAGCAGAATGTAAACATCTCTGAACTTTGCTTACTGGATAAAAGGCAGCATTAGCTTCTCATTAGCTTCCCATTGCATTTCCTCCTGCAGGATCAATCACACATCCAGGCCAGACACGTGGCCCCTGCTTGTAATGAATCTTGGAAAGGCATAGCTCTTCTGCGGATGGATTGCTGTATCTGAGCACAGCTTTCAGAGGGGAGGGGTGAGAGAAATAAAGGCTGGAAGCAGAATAATAAGCACCAGTGTTTGAGAAGTCTGCTCTGTGCCCTGTGCTGCAAGCAGCTTTCTTTAGTGGTTGATTCACTGTCAGAAAATTTGCTTTTGCCTGAATGCTACTTAGCATCAGGGAGGGAATTTATGATTTCTTCTTTTCCACAGTGTGAAGTTGATGCCTTACTAAGTTGTGTTTTTTGTTGTTGTTGTTTTTTGGACAAATTGAAGTTGTCTAAATCCTATCTTTTGGGTGGTTCTAGAGTTATGCTCAATACTCTCAAACCTACTCACAAGGATTTAACTGTGACACTTTCATACAACGGAAAGAGAACTGCTTTTGATCTCGTTCTCAGAACTCTGCTTTTCTAATTCTTATTTGAATTTTAAATGCTTTAAAGTTGTTGGATTTTTTTCTTTTTTAAAAACTGTGGTAATCTCAGTTACCAGGTTGGTAGAGGGCAGCTGGGAAGGGAATGATAACGAGGAAGTGAAGATCCCATGAGTATTGATTATCAGAGATGGCTAGGACTTGAGGCACTAAGGATTGTCAGCTGTTTACCTTTACTGAATAGTATTTGTTGTTATTTTGGAAACCAAGCAAATTGCAGAAAAAGCTTTATGGAAACTCAATTTACACAAAAACCACCTAGGGAGTGACGTCCTCAAAAGCTCTAGGAGAACTGTGTGAAAAGGCAAGCTTCCTTGCTGTCCCGAATATCATGTGTGAGACACATTTCATTTAAGGGTCATGCCCATTGTGTGAAAGGAGGTGCATCTGCATTTATCTCTGAAAAGGGATTTCTTCTGACAAAGCATTTCCCTCCCCTGCAAGCCTCAGAAGACATACAGACAACAGGGGGATTAAGATATATTGACAATGGGAGGACTATTTCCTTACCTGGTATATAACAAATGCCTATTAATAAATGAACAAAACAATTCTGTCTCCATTTTCTCCCAAACATCCCGACCTCATGGTCAGTACTCATGGGTTTTCTGACCTTGCTTATCCTGCTGCCTGCCCAGGACCCTGGGGGCAAACCGTCCAGGCAAGCCTGAGACTGCCGGCTCAGACAGAGGGGGCCCTTGGGCTCTGCCTGCAGGAGCAGGTAAGCTGTTCTCACTTCTTCCTGCATGCCCGCTTCTTTTGCCTTAGCTCTCACATTTCTGTTGCCAGAACTCAAAACGCTTTCTTGTCAGACAAAATGTATATTTGGAAAGTGGGTTGTTTGAAAACCTTGACTGGCACTGAGACCTCAAAGGCCTGGCTGGGCATTTCTGGTTAGTAGCAGAGACCTAATTTTTCTTTTTGAAAGTCCTCTTTCCTCCCCACAGGCATTGAAGCCCTGTGAAATTTCATAGGCTGCTTCCCTTTCCACCATGATTGTAAGTTTCCTGAGGCCTCCCTAGCCAGGTTTCCTATACAGCCTGTGGGACCATGAGCCAATTAAACCTCTTTTCTTTATAAATTACCCAGTCTCACATAGTTCTTTATAGCAGCATGAGAACATCACTAATATAATATGTTTGTATTCTCTTCTCACCAGCTATTCTCCCAAGAAACTCTCTTTTTAAAAAATGCAGCAACTTATATAGTTTTGGAGGAAGAAAACCCTTTAATAAAACATGGCTTCCTAGAGTAGCAGTAAGGGGAAGTTATACTTCTGAACAAAACGAGTTACCTCAAAACTGCCACAAAATACTCAGGAAAAGGTAACCAAGAGCAGGCTTTTGAGAATGAATGAGTCACCCTCTCTTACACTCTGCAGCCTGAGCTGGGAGATAGTGGCACACACATGCTAACACCGGCAATGACTCACTTCAGTCTCACCTGAGACCTGTTAGATCTCCTGGCCATTATTTAGAGAAATCACTAGCAATATTGAAGGACAACTCACAAGTCCAAATCGCCCTATAGTTCTTAACCAAATTCTGGGGACTGGGAGCAGTCACCTTATGGGAGGGCCCTCTCCCAAGACTCTAGACCAAGGTACAGAAGTTGACATGACTGTTAACATCATTATTGGAGCAGCTCAAGGATCTGTTAGCCCCTGAGGAAGACACAGGTGAGCTGGAGCTAGTGAATTCCGGAATTCTATACCAGACCCTCAAAAGAGCCTCCAGTCCTGGGGGTAGGAGGCAGCTTTCCTGCAAGTGGAAGTGCTCACATGTCTGGGGAAGGGGCTTATTCAGATGCACAAACAGGAAGAATAGGAAAGAGAGAGACCAAGGCAGGGGATAGAATTCAAGGAGTCCATGCACCTTCCTTGGTAACACTATTTTAAAATAATTCTTTGTGCAATTATTTACTGACATAACTGAATGAGGAATACTTAGTCACATATCCCTGAGACTTTGCTCAAAGTAAAACACTTCCATAACTGTAGGTATTAATATTTTAATGTTGACACTTAAAGATCATATTCTGAGACAGTGTCTGAAGCATAGACAAGAGCAAGGACCCCTTCCCTGTGGGAATATGAATGCCAGGGAGAGGGAGGAGAGGAGCAGGGACATGAGTTGTGTCTCCAAGCCCCACAGCTGACACCTCCGACCTTGCTATGTTCTACAGCCTTCTAATGCTGTCCAGTGCTCACTCTGGGCTTGTTTCCTTAATGATAAAGTGGAAATAACAATACCCTTGAACCTCAAAATCAGACATCATGTGCCTGGCCCAAGGCCAGGGCTGCAGCAAATTCAGAACCTCATCATATGGCACAGAGAAAACCTACTGACCTGTCGGTGCTGCTGAGCCTCTCCATCCTTGTTCTGGACACAAACTGAGAAGTCCAATCTCATCCTTCATTCTGCAAGAAATTTTCATGAATTAGTCACCCTCTAGTCACCTTAACTTCAGGGCAAGCCATTTTAGACTCAGCAAAAGCAACCTTGGGACTCAGTTGAACTTCACAGGGGCCATGGAAGCTGGTCCACTATATCATGGACCTGCTGTCTTAACGCTGGCCTAAAAAACTGTCGGTGGGGGTGGATGGTGGAGCGGAGGGAGGGAGGGTGTGGTGGGTGGAGAGTTCTGCCTGCCTGGGCACTCAGTGCTGGATTCTCCCTGCACTTGCACATTCTTTGACAAAGTGACAGGGCACAGCTAACATTATCACACACCCTCAAGTGCCTCTTAGCTCGTTTCACATGATGCTTCTAGTGACATGCTTTTATGAGTCTTTGAAGCATAGGTGGTGAGAGGATGAAGAGTTCTGTTTTTGGGCTGGGAGCGCTCAGACTCTATGTGTGTGTAACACCATCCTTCCTTCCCCCCTTCTCCCTCCCATTCTATATCACTAGAAAGAAAAAAGAAAAAGGATGGCATACTTTTTATTTATTTATTTTTTTTTGAAACGAAGTCTTGCTCTGTCACCCAGGCTGGAGTGCAGTGGGGTGATCTCAGCTTACTGCAACCTCCACCTCCGGGGTTCAAGTGATTCTCCTGCCTCAGCCTCCTGAGTAGCTGGGACTACAGGCACACACCATCACGCCTGACAAATTTTTGTATTTTTAGTAGAGACAGGGTTTTACCATGTTGGCCAGGATGGTCTGGATCTCTTGACCTCATGATCTACCCGTCTTGGCCTCCCAAAGTGCTGGGATTTCAGGCGTGAGCCACCATGCCCAGCCAGGATACCCTTTAGACAAGCACCAAGCCCACAACTTAGCTGATGTTATTCCTTTGTCCCCTGCTCCTGGGGTTAAGGCAATAGCTATAGACCGGGGGGGCAGGAGAAGGGGAACTTTCAATTGAAGCTGAAGAGAAAGGGGTGAAATGAGAAAATCTTCAGCAAAGCCCATCTTCTCAGCTGACAATCTGCTTGCCCTTCAGTTCCCCTTGTCCTTGAGAGGCAATAAAAAGGGAAGTGAAAAGATGGGGACTGGGTCAAGGCTTTGTCCTCATTTTGCAGATGGGAAAACTGAGGCAGTGGCGCTAAAAGCAATCAATTAACCTTCGTGAAACCACAGGTTGGTAGGGACCACACATGTTTAGCAAACATCTTTAGCTCTCCTTTGAAACGAATGCTTTTCATTTTCTTGACTCCTATAATGGGTCCAGACCAGTAAAGTGAACATGAGCAAGTTAGCTCCTCCACAACATTGATTCAAACTAAGTTGGCAGGGGTGTTAAAGTGAGCATACTGTACTTTAGGAGGTGTGAAAGGGGCTCTTGCAGGGATACTCTGGGTACCTGGTATAGAAGGAGAAATCTCAGCAAGACACACCTAATGATGAGATGACAGTTTCTCCATCTGTAAAATGGGATGACATTCTCCTTGGCTGGTAGAGGGAATATAATATAATCCTTGGGCTCAATCAATAGTCACAGTAATTGGCAGTTCACCAACAGGTGCCTCTAATAAGCCCAGATACCATAGTGGGGAGTCCCCATCACCAGCTCTGTCACAAAGGAGCAGGACACGCTTGGCACATTCATTCTAAATTACACCCCTGCCCTCAGGGTCCATGATGCCAAAGGATGACGTATTAGTGGCACCCACTATGTTCTTGGAAGACGTTTTCTCCAGGATGCGGAAGAAAAATTTAAAAGGATCAAAATAGAGGTATCAGTTGATTCATAGCCAAGATAGGTTATATAGTGTTAGTAGTTGTAGTAAAAGCAAAGAAAAATAATGGAGAGAGGATACATTTACACAACTCATGTTGGTAGAAGAGCTGGATAGCAATATTGAAAAACATTTGATGCCCATTAGGTAACTGTGCCCACTCTGTCCCTGGCGGTTAAGTGCCTATCTCTGGCCTCTGACACATGGTGATTCTACCATCTCCACTGAAATCAGAGAGCCCACTTCAGTGGCAGCAACCCCACCAATGTGCCCAGCCTAGGGAGCTCAGTGATCTTGCAGGCCACTGGGACTCCATCACTGACAGACTGTGCAGGGCCTTGTTGAAGGGAGTATCCTCTGAGCCTGCTCCAGAGACAGTGTGAATGTGGGTGTACAGGGTGCACATAATAAATCTATTCCCATTCCCACATCCCAGCCTTCTAAGGCTTTGATTCCATCCTCTTACATGATGCCAAGGAAGTTTTGGGAACCTCAAAGAACGTAGAGCCACTAAGTCCCACTTTCGGCCAACCAACCAAACTATCTCTTGGAGCCATTTCAGGGAGACACATTAAATTCAGGATCTCCCAACTCCATCCTTGGCCCAATATCCTTAGAATCAATTTCTATGCACATTCTTCAGGTCTTCACCAACATAAATTAGCAAAATCTTGCAATCCTTTTATAGGAATGCCCCTCCTGCCCTGGGAAGCAGATAACCCCCTTTCTCCCCCTTGGTGGAGGGTCTAGGCTGAGGCAGGGTTCCTGGGCTGCGACCTTCCTGCTCCTCTAGTGACTGCTGGTGTTTCTGCCTGTGGAAACGGTTCTTCTGGAAGCAAACCTTGCTGACAGGGATGCTCTGCTCTATTTTGGTGTTTTGCCAGAGATTTTACTTTGATTTAGAAATTGAAGAATCCTTCTGATCCTGAGAAGGTCCCAGAGGAAAGAACCTGAGGTAGACGCCCTGCAGCTCTCTGGTCTGACAAAACTGCTTTTCTGAATTAGTCTTTCCAGGTGGGGGCTGAAGGAAGACTCAATATTCATCTCCCTGGCACCTTAAACTCCCACCTTTATGCTCCCTCCAAATGCAAGAAGACTTGAATTGTTATCAAAGATAAACTGTGAAGAAGCAGCAGCAACTGAGTTCAGGTCTGCTGAGGAAGGCTCGAGATGGCTGGCTGAGCTGGAAGTTTCTGGAACCCCTGTTGCAGTAGCCCCCTTTCACCAAGCCTGACTGTGCCTGGTGCTCTACAGATCCTCTCTCTCTAAGCTTTGCAGCAATGCTGAAAGGTGGGCATCATTGTCTCCATTTAATGAGTGAGGAAATGGAGACACTGCCTCACTCATGTGCTTCCCCTGCCTCCACCATTCTCCCAGTGATAGTGATGACAAGACAGGGATGCTGGTGCACATTCCCCAGATGCTGAGACAACAGTGTGCCTCTGGATCATGATGGCAGGGAGTGGTCGTGGGCTTCTGGGTCAGTCACAGGCATTTGGCTTGTGCTTGAGCCATAGTCCTCCTGTCCCCAGGCATCTTCAGGGAGCGTGGGCCTTCCTTTCCTCACAGGCAGGCAGATTGCCTGCTCTCCACCGCTTTTCCAAATGCCTCCGATGAAGAAGGGAGACCAATTCATGCCATTCCATTCTATTCATGTTTTAGAAGCACCTCTTTAAAACTTTAGTTTTGAAAAGCCTGGAATTGGCAGCAAAATGGACATTTCTGGTTATCCGGGAAGGTGAAAACTCACATGGCCTCTGAAATGTACATGAGAAAATGTATGATTCCTTCAGCACAAAGTGATCCCCTGCCAAGTGGACTCAGCTCCCAGAAATCACGTTTTATGCTTTGAGACAAATCCCTGACCGGAATGTGCAAGGTTAAAACATTTAAAATAGGATTCAGCATCAGTGTACAAGTATAACCAGAAGGTTGTTCTCTCAAACTTTTTTTTTTTTTTTAAAAAAGCAAGCAAGCTCAATTCCCGAGTTACTGTTGGAAGCTTTCCAAAAGATAAGGCTTTGGCGTGGACTTTGGGTCAGACAGACCTGTCAGCCTTCCTTGCTCTGTCTTTCCTAGTCATGCAGGACCTTGAGCAAGCCAGTGAGCTCAGCTTCCTTGTGGGTGATCTGCAGACAGCAACCCCTTCAGAGGGTTTTTGTGCAGATGTGACCAGATGAGGTGGGGGAGAGGGAACGAATATGGGTTACATAGGAGAACACAGGAACCCAACACACCTTAGTTTTATTCCCCTTGCTCTTGGGACTTCCATTCTGAAAGATAATTTTTCCACACCTTCCAATAATTTATTTGATTCAACATCTAAAAAGGCTGGGTTTGATACTATGAAATTTGGTAAGCAGTGATTCCAAAAAGCAAACCAACAAGAAACATGTAAGCACCAAAGCTGAGTCAATGGTCTGGTCACTGAGACTGGGAAGGGACTACCAATGTAACCCACTAGACCTTGAATACAGAGAGATGTTGTTCACAATGATCACCAGACAGAAGTGTTCCCTGTTACCTACACAGCCATAAAATTAGTCAGCAATTTCCAGTTAAAGCTCCTATTCCAAGCAGTAAGAGAATAAGCGAAAACCAAATCCTCGCAATCAAGCTTAAGAACAGGATAAGAGAAATAAGTACATTGCACATGCCAGTCGTGAGGAAGGTGAGGATTTAAATCCCTGGGTGATAGAATTCTGCTGGCGCTTCAGTTTTTATCCTACTCTTCAAAATTACCCCACACTGGGAGTTCAGAATGCAAAATTGCAAAGGCAGTGATGTGCGAGGAAATGAGATAACACAGCTCAGCCTGTGGGTTTTGCAGTGTCGGGTTTGTGTCAGGATGGAACGGACTGGAAAGTGTGACTATTGAGACACTTGCTGCAAACTTCCCAGTTGAACCAAAGACTTAGACCCCAGCAATGCAGCTGGCCCCTTCCACTGGAGTAGAAGCTGCCTGGCAAATATCTAAACACGATGTAATTCTTTTCCTTGTGGACCCAACTCTTAGAAATCATGTTTTATGCTTTGAGCCTAATTAACAACAAAGGGTCATCTTCTCTGGACATCCTGATTTTGTTTTTGGTTCACTTTCAATTTCCATTATTATGAATCAAATTAGTAAGAAGGGGATTATGGACCAATCTTCCCCATCCCTCCCCTCCACACATAGATAGCCCCCTCACCCCCGATTTCTTAGGCCTTGCTGAGAGGATGAAATCTACAAGAGCATA